AGCAGGAAGTAAAGGAGGGAAAATCAACCAGAAAGGTGGCCCAGCTGTGCCCAGGCAGGCCGCCCTGACTGCCCACCAGGAAGCCCGTGAGGCGTAGACTGGACGGGTGGAGTTCCTGGCTGTCGGCCTGGTGGACAGGGTAGGTCCTGGTCAGTGACGGCCTGGTGTGGCTCACAAGGAGCCAGGAGGTCGCGAAGCCACTCCACAGCGTCCACAGGGGCTCTGCCCAGAGGACCCCCTAGAAACCCAGCCTGGGGACAAGGCTGTGGCTTGGGACAGGGACAGTGTGGTGTGGGCTGACAGAGTGCTTCTCCAGCTGGAGCTGGCCCCAGGCCTCGCCCCACCAGGCGGCCATGTGTAACTGCTGCTGGCGGCAAGTCTGGGCACGGTGCTGGCCGTGAGGCAGCAGGGGTCCCGGGAGCACAGGGCCCGGCTGCCCACCAGCCTTTCCGGGTGGAGGCCTTCCAGTGCTTCCTGCTGGGTGGTGTCCCAGCGCAGCCTGCCATGCCAGCCCGGGCCAGGAACTCTCAGGGCAGGGTGCCTACCTGGGCGCCGGGTGCGGAGGGTCTGTTCAAAGGTGAGCGCGGATTTCAGGAATGACTTCCAAAGGCACATGGTGACTGCCGGGAGGGAGCGGCTTCTGCCCTAGGGGACACGTGACCCTGCTGCCCTCCCTGCCCGGCGTGCCTGCTGCCACCTCCAGCCACAGCACCCACAGCAGCGGGCAGGCACCTGTGCACATGTGCGCTCACCGGGGCCTTGGCCCACACTGCCCTGACCCCACCTCTGGCCCGCAGGTGCTGCCGGCCCTCCTGCCCAAGCTGGAGGAGGTCCTGGTGGTGGTGGGCGGGCGGGCGCTGGAGGAGGACGAGGAGGGCACCGAGGAGCCCGCGCCCCACCCCGGGAACTTCGCCTTCTACAACACCAAGGCCAGTGAGTACGCTTGGGCCCAGGCGCCCCACCGTGCCCCATCCTGGACTGAGCCGCTGTCCACCTGGCAGGCAGGACGGGTGGGGCGTGCAGAGGAGTCCACGGTCTGGGCGTGCCGGGTGGGCTCACGGGGGTGCTGCTGAAGGGCCTTGGGGACCCGGGAGGGCACTGCTATTCCTCAGCCATAGCCCGCTCTGGTCACGTTTAGGCCTGAGGGCCAGCGTAAAGGGTCCCCACTGCCCGGACTGCACTATGTGCAGTGGGCTTGCCCTCGGTGACCCTGCTGGTGCCCCTGAGGGGAACCAAGGCTCCAGGGGCAGAGTGAGGCTAACGGCGTGCCAGCAGCCTGGGTGAGAACTGAGGTTGGCAGTCGGCCCAGTCGGGTTTCAGCCCTGGAACGGGTCAGCTCAGCTCTGCCTCAGTTTCTCCTCCTAGGAAATGTGCACCTGGTGGCTCCTTGCCTGACGGTAAGCAGGCCCCGAGCCGACGTGGAGGCCCCCTGCACACTGGACGGGGTGGTGACAGACGTTGTCTGGACAGTGACGTGGCTGGCCGGGCCCTGGGACCCAGGGCAGATGCCAGATGCCCACGGCCTCAGCAGCTGGTGGGCTCTGGGAGGACCAGGCTGTGGTCCCGCTCAGGGGCTGACGTCAGGAGGGAGCAGCTGTCCCTCGTACCCGGCTGGGAGGGCAGCAGGGGCATGGCGGGCAAAGGCCCGTGGACTGCTGGCTGTCCCCACCCTGGTGACACCATCATGAGTCAGGACACTCAGTCCTGTCCACGTGCCAGGCCCTGCTCCCAGCGAGGCTGACTCCGTGGCGAGCAGTAAACAGAGGCTTCCGGGAGCCCCAGGCCAGGCCCGCCCGAAGGGGTAGTGTGCTCGCGTTCTCTGCCTCCTGTCGGTTTTTCCCAGTATCTTCTCGCCTCTGCCTCAGTCACCCCACTGCTCTGACTGGAGCACATCCTGTCCCTCACGGTGCCAGGAATCCTGACAACCCCGTCACCAAGCTGTAGTGGGTGCCCACAGTCCACACCCCTCCCTGAGACATGGGCTCCCCACTCCCACAGACACGAAACCACGGCTGGGGCTATGAGGGCCGTGTGGCCACTGGGCCCCATCCTGCCTGCACAAGGCCTGCTGGGCCCCTGAGTGCCCTCAGCCACCTCCTGGGTAGGAGAGGGCTGGGGTGGACCACGTTTGAGTTGCCCGAGTGCCGCCCACAAACCACCCTCCTTGCCCATCCCGCTCCTGACCAAGGGGGGCCAGGTCTTGGGTCAGTGGCCTGGGTGCGATCCTGGCTCCTGGAGCCTGGCCACCTCCCACGATAGCCCTGGCTGCAATTTGCATCCACTCCGGGAGTCCGGCTCTCAGGGCCCCTCTGACGGTGCCCCAGGTGTCACCCCACCTCTGTGGCAGGGAGACCCCTTGCCTCTGCCCACCGCTCAGGGATCGTGTGACAATGCGTGGAGAGGCCCCAGAGGCCAGGAAGGGCCCGGGGCCAGCCACCAACCCCGCCCCACTCTTCCTTCCCGCCAGGGCAGTGGACGGCGCTCCCCGACTTCCCCGACTACCACAAGTGGGGCTTCTCCCTGGCAGCGCTCAACAACGACGTCTATGTCACAGGTGTGGCTCAGCCTCCCGCACACCCCGCCGACACGTGCCCCAGCCTCTCCTTGACCCGGGTCCCCGACAGCGTCGCCCAGACTCCAGCCCTCTCTGCACATGGAATCCAGGGGTCCACGCTGCAACCCGGCGTGGCCCAGGCCAGCCCACTGTGCTCCACAGGGACCCTTGTGCGATGGGGTCACTGGCTCTTTCATCTCTTGGCATTCGGGCTCCCAGTAAGATCGAGCTGGGGAGAAGCGTCCCCTGATGGAGGCTTGATGGGGTCCTCCTGGTTGGGGGGATGGGGCCCCATCCACAGTTCCACAGGTGGCTATTGACCCACAATCCCGTGCCCTTCATCATGGCCTGGCATGGGGGTGGGGGCCAGACTCAGGCTCCAGCCCCTGCCCGAGGCCCAGGCTAGTGGTGGCACCCAGATGCAACCTCTTCTGGCAGGTGGCTCGCGGGGCAGCAAGACAGACACCTGGTCGACCACCCAGGCCTGGTGCTTCCCGCTGAGGGAGGGGGCCTGGAAGCCCGTGGCACCCATGCTGAAGGCCCGCACCAACCACGCCAGCGCGGCGCTCAATGGCGAGATCTATGCCATCGGCGGTAAGGTCCACCCCAGGCCCTGCTCCCCACCCAGAACCAACCAGGAAAAAGCCCGTGCTGGCCTCAGGGCCCACAGAGGCACTGCTGCCCCTGCCACCCCAAACTCACCTTCTGGGGGTGAGCGGGCCCAAGGCAGGGCTCCCAGCTGGGCAGGCCTGCAGGGCCCAGGGCCAGGCCACCCCCAGCTCTTTCTGACATGCTGAGGGTGGAGACAGGACGGTGATCAGTCCCCGAGCTGTCCAGCCTGTGCCCTGGGCCTGGCCCTCAGCTCAGGGTCACCTTGGTGAAGCCCCTGTGACTTTGGAACCCACAGTGGCCTCTGCCATCACTGTCATCCCAGTCAAACCCCCAGCCTGAGCACAGGGGCCACCATATCCCTGTGGCACCCAGAGCTGGGGCAGGAGCCACCCTGGGGCCTGACAGACTGGAACACACCCGGCCCCCAAGACGCCTGCCCTCCTGTCCGCGGCGGCTCATGCGGGACCCGTGCCCATTTGCCTCAGGGACCCCGAGTCCTCACAGAGGCTGAGGCTGGGCCCCAGGAGAGCAGTACATGTCCTACCACCCCCACGGCAAGTCCCCATCATTGTCACATCCAGATAATGTCTGGGACTGTGGGAACAGGCCCCAGCTGCCCATGGAAATCGAGGGCACCTCCCCAAATGCCAGCGGGCGTGCCCGGGTCCAAGGCCCCCAGCCAGCTCCCGGTGGGACATGGGACGGCTCGGAGCCTCAGCCCCCACCTGTGACATGGGGCGCGCGCCTGGCTCTTGGGGCCACACACCCTGCATCCCCCTCTCCTGGGGCAGCCAGGGCGTCCCGCTGCTTCACTGCGCCCAGGACCCAACTTCCCAGACCCACCCCTGGGCCCCGGCCCCTGCAGCCCTCAGTCCCGCAGTGCCCGCCCCTGTCCGCAGGCACCACGCAGGATGTGGTGGAGGTGGAGAGCTACGACCCCTACACCGACAGCTGGACGGCCGGCAGCCCCGCGCCCAAGTACGTCAGCAACTTCTCAGCCGCCGCCTGCCCCCCCCGCCTCTACCTGGTGGGCTCCAGCGCCTGCAAGTACAACGCGCTGGCCCTGCAGTGCTACAGCCCCGTCACAGGTGGGCCCCTGTCTCCACAGCCCCGTCACACGTGGGCCCCTGTCACCACCG